GACTCTGAGGACGACAGGAAGGAAGATGTCAAAGTCTGTGGGAAGCTTAACTTCACCCTCCAGTACGATTATGAAAATGAACTTCTAGTTGTTAAAATTATCAAAGCCCTAGATCTCCCTGCTAAAGACTTCGCAGGGACGTCTGACCCTTACGTGAAGATGTATCTTCTTCCAGACAGGAAAAAGAAATTTCAGACCCGTGTGCACAGAAAGACTTTAAATCCTCTATTTGACGAAACTTTTCAGTTTCCCGTAGCATATGATCAACTAAGCAACCGAAAACTACATTTCAGTATATATGATTTTGACCGATTTTCTAGACATGACATGATTGGGGAAGCGATTCTTGACAATTTGTTCGAAGCCTCTGATCTCTCCAGGGAAGCCACGATGTGGAAAGATATCCATTGTGCCACCACAGTAAGTTATAATTCCACCAATGTATTGCCTTTTGTTTGACCTGCAGTGATATAAAACTAATTATTACCCAGATTATTTCTACCAAGTTAGGGAGTTTATGCCCTGAAGACCTGCAAATGGAGTATATGATCACGTACATACATAATTAGTCTGGCACGTAACACTATGTGGGTAACATTAGTGATTGTGTAAATATATATAAAAAAAGCACAGCTTTTGTAATTTACCAAAAACAGTAGGCCTTTTCTCTTGTGAAATACTGATCCGTAACCTGTTCTCAGCACTTAATTTCCTCACAGTTATTATTGACTTTCATTATTTAAGATGAGTTTGTTCCTCAGATCAAACCTAAGATGTACTTGCTGCTCTTTGGAAAAGTTCTTGATTTGGTCTAAAACAGACTGTTCCTTCAGTAGCTTTTGTGGAATGGATACAGTCTGAACTGCCAAATGATCAGGAAGTGATTCTTTTTCATTACAAGATGCCTTTTCTGATTACTAAATAATTTAATATTAAAAATTTGAAAAGCAGAATAAAAAAGTATAAAATAATCTTACCATGCCATGACTTATACGTAAAATCTTGGCATATCGCTTTCCAGCTTTTTTCTATGACTGTTTTAAAATAATTAAGATCAAACTAAGTTTAAGTTTTTTCACACTAATTTTTTTCATGCTGTATTTGTTTTGGTACATAATGTTTAAATATATGATCCATTAACCTAACCATTTTTTTATTGTTGACATTTAAATTGGGCATAAATTTTATTATACTAAACACTGTTGTGTTTTTTTTTACATAAATATTTTTATTCAAGATGATTTTGTCTAGAATAGAATTAGAGAAGCAGAATTAGGGAACTGGTTTCTTGGGAGGTTAGGCTGCTAAACTGTTTTCATTTGTTAGTTTTTAAATGAAAGCACTTAATTTTCTACCATGAGGTTGTCTATGTATTTACCATCTTTTGTCTAAGGTTTACCACAATTTATAAGCTTGAGATGTTGAAGTCTGGACAGAGACAGGGATTATTAAAAACAAGAATTATTTTCTTAATTCAAAATAGCTCCTTTTGTATTTTTCTCATCAATATTTTACTAAGTACAATCAGTATTTGGAGTCACTATATTTCCATTATAAAGTATATGGATACATTAAATTAATTGTCAGTTTATTGCATTACATCATCAAAACATTTTTAGTCCCTGGGTTTTTATTTCATGGTCTACACTGTGATAATTTATTAGGGAACAAACTGGACCATATTTCAAAGGCACATTGGAGTTCTTTTGATTTCATATTGTTTTTCACTTTATAACATATTCCTACAAGGATAAGGAGTGCATTTTACTGTTTTAAATATATGACACCTTTTAGAATGCTACAAATGCAGATAATAATTAATTATTAGGCTATTTCTCTTGATTCTCCAGTCTTATATTATACCTCCTTTTATTCATTCAACAAACATTTGCTAATTGCCTCCTATGTGTTTGGCATACTCTAAGTATTAGGGATGCAACAAACATTACCATAAAAATTGTTTTGACACATGTTCTATTCATATATTTGGGTTCAGAGGTAAGTAACCGCCAAACGAGGTCTAAAAATTGGCATAATTTTACAGGTGATTAACAGTGGATTTTTTTATTACATTAATAAGTTTCTCTGTTCCATACTGATCCTTAAAAGAACAGTAAGAATTACTGATGGAAGTTTCAATTTTTGACTGCTAATAGAGCATACCTGGGTTTTTTTTTGGTAAATATTAATACACCCCTCAATTTTATTTTCAACTCTATGTGCTTAATGTATCTATTTTCTGCTGTAAAAATTACAAGTTTTGTGTCTTAAAATAATGCAAATTTATCATCTCCTACTTCTGTAGGTTAGAAGTCCAACCTAAGTGACAATGAATATATGTATGTTCATGTATGACTAAAAATTGTGCTCTACACTGGAAATTGACACAACATTGTAAAATGACTATAACTCAATAAAAAATGTTAAAAAAAAGAAGTCCAACATAGGTGTTAATTGGCCTAAAACAGGTGCTGGCTGGTCTGTGTTCCGATCTGGAGGCTCTGGTCTAGGGGTGATCTGTTCCCCTGCCTTTTCAGATTTTAGAGGCCACTGGTATTCTTTGGTTTTGAGTGAGCCTATGTGAGCAAGCAAGGATATTCTCCCCATCTTATGGTTTATAATCTTTTTTTTTTAATTGAAGTATAGTCAGTTTACAATGTTGTGTCAATTTTGGATTATAATCTTAATCACCTCTGCCAAGTCCCTTTTGGCATGTAGGAACCATATTCAGATCTGGAGGTTAGGACGTAGCCATCCTTAGAGATGCATTTATTTTGCCTCCCCAGCTATAGACATTTTCATTTCAGTATTCTGGATATAAAAAGAAGTATGTGGATAATATAATGTATGATTAAATTATTCTAGTCAAATGGTGTTTCTCTTTAGCTGGAACACTGACCCACACACTGTTCTAGAAATGCTTGTGGCTTTTTTGTTGAGAAGAGCGTCGTGAAGCCTAAATTTCTAGACTGTGGGATCCCAGTTCACAGTATACACTACTATCATCTTTATGGTTAATGTAGTGTTTAATTTCAACGTCCCTTCAGCTTTTGAAAAATCATTAAACAATTTTATGTTTTCAGATCAATAAAATAAGAAAAGTGATGTGAGTTGAAATTTGCTTAAGAAGCTTTCTTATCCTACTCACATTTTTAATTTTAAACGATTTCTCACAGAAATTACAGAGTTTTCTAGAAAGAAGGAGAAGGGAAAGAAATAGAAATTAACGTAATCCTGTGCCCTCACTAGATACTTGTTGAATAAATGACTTAGCATATTTTCGTGTAAGGTCCTAAGTGAAAGAATGTGTGTTAGTACACACCTCCCAGAAGAAAAAAAACAATAAATACAATGATGTGTCCTATTGATATGCTTGGTTATATTTGTTAATTTTGACTACTTTCTGTAGACAAAAATTTAAATGATTATTCAATGTATAACACAAATTCATATGTAAAACAAACCAGTAATCTTTAAAATTTATTATTAAAAATCCTATCAAGTTGAAACAAGAGTCACAAATTATGTATTCATAATTTCACCACTAATAAATTATTTCTATATAAGAAATATTAATATTTTAATCAGGAATTAGCAAGTTTTTTTTTAATTTCAATTTGAATGGCAAAGAAAACAAAGGTGTGTCTTTATCCTGTGCAAAAAGTAAATTTTCACATTAGAGTTTATCCCACTATATATTATGGATAAGGCAAGCCAATCAGCTCTTGCACTAACATAAAAATATTTCCAACTTAGGGACAAATCACACTGAAGGATAGTGTGTAACCTTTGCCACTACTTCTGCAATAGGAAGGAAAAATACAGATTCATATTCAGTTATATATGCAAAAATAGTCTATGTAAAGACACACAATGATTTAATAATAATAGTTGTTGGCAAAAATGGTAGAAACTAGATGAATGTGGAAAAGGAAGGATTTGTAACATACTGCTTTAGATACATTTTATTTTTAAATATGTGAGAATAATATTATTCAAATTTTAAATTAATTTTTTTTCGAAGTCCATCATTATACATGTTTGAATCTATTTGTTTAGAACATCCTCCTCATGTCTTATTTTGTTTGACTTCTGTTTTCTGTTTCTATGAATGAGGCGAAATAGCTAACTCTCTCTGGTCTGGATGGGGTGGTCCTGCGTGGCTCCATCTCCTGTGTGAATGGCTTGTGCCTAGTGGTTCTGACAGGCTGGCTGGAGCTGGAGCAGCGCGGGCCAGGGGCAGTTTCTGGGTGGTGCTGTGCCTGGGGCTGCCTCTGTGGGGCAACTGAAGCTGATCAGGCTAGGCTGGGGGCCGTCCTCGAGGGATGCTGCACCCGATGTCACCTTGGGGGTTGGCTGTGGCTGGAGCTGGAGCAGGCGTGGGCTGGGAAGAGTCCCAGCGGGACTTAAACAGTGGTGGTCACTGGTACCTCCGACCCCAGAGCGGAATCCAGCATTTCCTTGCTCATCTGGCAGAAGCTCTAGCCTTAGTAAATGGATTTTCTTCCTGTATAATACAGTATAGCATCCTTGCTGGGTCACTTATCTGTATGTCTTTGGGCAAGTTACTAAATCTCTCTAAGCCTTAATTATCTTATCTGCTAAATGGGGATTATGAGAAAGTGAACCATAGTTTGTTGACTACACTAAATAAGATAAGTGCTTATGATGGAACCAGGCATTTGTAAATGCTTCATGTACATTAGCTGCCAAGAAGTGTTTGCAGAATGTTATCGCTGGGCCATGGATCTGGTTGTTAATGTAGCTGACATACTAAATAGGAATGAAGATCATGGTGCTAAAAATGGCTATATCCTATCATCATGGTGAAGATTTCCACTTTCCACTGTTCTTCACCCTGTTTGGTGCCTCAAGAGGCTGGCCTTTTGGTCCACAAACTCTGCTCTCTTGAGTTCTGGCAAGAAATGTCAGGGCAGGACGAGAATGACACGCGGATGGGTGTTCTCTTTAGGTCTTCCTCAAGCTGTCTGTGTCCTTCCCCTGAGGGTACAGTTCCTCTTAAAGCAAGCTTTTCTTCTTGCCACTTCTCTCTGAATTCAGCTGTCCCCCCTCTTGCCCTTTCAGGCCTAGCGGTCATTACAGCCCCTGGGCTGTTACCAGCGCTTTTGTGGTTTCCCTGCTTCCTACTCACACGTCTGTAGACAGTCTCCCCATTAAGCCCTCTGGAATTACTCTAATTTGTGTGTGCCATCTGTTTCTTCCTATATCCCCGCCTGACACCACAAAGAAAGAAGAAAATTCCTGATTACAAACAGGTTAATTTGCTGTAACCTCCTTGGACCATGCCACATCCTAGGATGTTTGGTGTGTTTATTACCTTTAGGGAAGCTAAATTAGTCCTTTAAATGCTGGATAATAAGACAAAGTTTTCATCCACAAAAAGAACCATGACATTGTTA